ACGATGAACCTGAACCTAAGGTCTTAAAACCCTTCAAACAAACTCAGGTCACGATGAACCTGAACCTAAGGTCTTAAAATCCTTCAAACAAAGTCAGGTCACGATGAACCTGAACCTAAGGTCTTAAATTCCTTCAAACAAAGTCAGGTCACGATGAACCAAAACCTAAGGTCTTAAAACCCTTCAAACAAACTCAGGTCACGACGAACCTGAATCTAAGGTCTTAAGACCCTTCAAATATACTCAGGTAACAATCGACCTGAATCCAAGGTCCTAAAATCCTTCAAACGAAATTAGAACTACACAACATGCTCTCAAGGGCTTCCAAGAGTCCTTCGAAATAGACCTAGGTTCCTAAAAGTCCTAGTCAAACTCTTTATGCTTGAAGTTACCAAGACTTCTAGAGGTGCAAGATCATTAACACAATCCGTGATCTAATTCCGGAACAATTACACGAGTCTCGTACTCAAGAAAATCATGATACCTAAACTGAGTTCACACTCCAAAGCAGAATCCGAATAAGCTAAGTAATTCAAAACGAAGGATAAAACCAAGGAAAAGAAACAAGGTTTAAAAGCCTCCTCAGGCCATTAACGGTTCAAAAGATCCTAACGCAAACAAAGGTTTAAAAGCCTCCTCAGGCTATATGTCTCAAAACATAAGTAAAATCTCGTAGGGCAGACATCCTAAGAACACATTAAATAATCTAGAAGGAGAACCGGTCTTCAACCTTCTTGACCATCATCTCCAGAAACCTTCAAAGCATCACGATCCTCCTCGATTGCCTCGCTATCCGGGACATCTTCATCCATCTTCTTGCCGTCACTTCCCGGAACCACGTCAACTGGGGCTAAATCAGGACCCACCAAACCTAAATTAGAACCATACCCTCCAGAAAAGGATGGATTAAACACGTTAACCTCAAAAGTACCTGAGCTCTCTGAGAGTTGAGGAAGAGGAAGCTTGCTGACTGAGAAGTCAGAGACCTGAGCCTTCTCGTAAGCAGCAACCGCTTCTGGCATCAAAGACATCAAACGATTGTACTCATCCTCAGCACTTTGAATCTCATTTGATAGCAAATCCTTCAAGAGCTCCATATTAGCTTGGAGCTCTTGAGCGTAGATCTGAAGATCAGCCTCATCCTTCTTCTTGGAGAACTTCTCTTTAACAGAGATAAGGATCTTATTATAAGCGTCGATCACCTCCTTCTTTCCCCTTCTAACAGCAAATTTAACTTCAGCCTCCTTGTTCTTCTGACTGACTTGAGACGAAGCAATCATGTCCTGAACTTGTTGCTCAACAATCCTCCGAGCGCTGTCTAGCTCGGAAATCATCAATTTCCAAACTCTCAATCTTCCCTTGCTGAGCATCAGACTTCAAACCGAGCCTCTCAACTTCAGATTGAAGTGTCGAAACCTGAGCTCTGGCTTGGTCACGCTCAATCTTGGTGGTCTTAACCATCTCGGTGACCTGAGCTAGCTCTTCAGCATTAGGCGCGTTACTCACCGTTTCCTCAAACTTTAGCTGAGCCCTATTAACAGCTCCAGCCAACTACAGAGAAACAAACAACAGAAATAAATATCTCTCTAAGAAAAGCAACAAAAAGGGGGCAAAAACCCGTACCTGACCCATGTAATGAGCAATCTCAATGAATTCTTCCCTGTTAGTCAAATTGTTAACAGGGGGAAGAGAACATCCTGTCTGCTTCATGTGTCTCATCAGCGTAACTAAACCCCAGGGATCATCAAGAATCGATCCAGGCTTCGAGTGGGCGAAATTCCATCCAACGGTTCCTCCTCTCGAGGATGAGGAAGAAGACCTGGAAGGTCTGTCACGCTGATCAGTTCGTGACCTCTTACTTCTAAGGAGGTCAGTCTCGGAAGGATCCTTGATCACCTGAGGATCAACTCCCGTGACCTGAACATGAGAGCGGGGGACTGTCTCCTGAGCTCCCTGAGCTTCAACAGGATTAACATCCTCAGCTGGAACGGAAGCTCCATCATCCAGAACCTCTTTCACAGAGCTGACGAAAGATCCTCCCTGATTCTTCTCACTCCCTCGTGAGGTGCTGGCTGCTTTCACTGGTCTACCCCTAGATCGGAACGACGGCTGGAGAGGTATCTTGACTGATTGAGTTTTCTCAGTTCCAGAGGTACTAGCTTCCGTCGAAATCGACACTACCGTGTTACCTTCAGAAACTGCATTTATGAATTTCTTCAGTATTCAAACATCTTGATAATGAGTTCATAAGCATAAAAGAAATTAGCATATTACCTTCTAACTCTACGATTGGGATCGGAGTTAGAAAAGAAGCGTTATATCGATCTGGAAATCTGGCCGAGCCTATTCGAGAAGTGGTGTAAGAAGTCCAGTTACAAGGAGTCTGCTGTAGCTTTCGAAAAAGAGCCCTGGTAAGCTTGCCGGTAAGCGTAGGAGGATCCTCAATATATGTAAACAATACCAGGCATATATCAGGTCACTACAAATAAAAAAAATAAATGCATTCCTAATAGTCCTAACCAGATGCATCGGACCAAACGGTCCTAAGGGCACGACCCACAGGGACCGTCGAAGGGTCAATCTTTACATAGAAATACTTCTTCCGCCAGTCGTTGTCGCTGCTAGAAAATTTAAAAATACCCAACCTAGGACGGCTCGCAAGATAATAGGTCCCGCTACCACCTTCTTTCGAAGCACTCTCCTTTATCGAAAAAGGCTCATTAAGTCATTAATCCCGACAACGACTCCTTCCTCTTTGGACCTAGTAATGAAACCGTTTATCACTCGGATAACGTAAGGACAAAGCTGGGGAAGGGCTAGTTGGTAGTGATCGAGAAGATCCAATAAAAGATCAGGGAGAGGGAACCTAAGATGGATCTTAGATATATACTTTTCGTGAACACAGAACCAGCCCTCTGGAGCTGTTTCGGGGGTTTCGTGGTCTCCACAAGCCCTGGCTAACTCCCTACGGCCTTGAGCTTGGACCATAAGGTTAACGACTTCTTGACTCTTTAACGCTGAAGGCGGGCGAGATCCGGAGGGTAGATTCTCATTAGAGCCACCGATCCTTTTGGTTCGTTTAGAGACTCTCTGGGCTATTGATTCTTTAGCCCTCTTCTTCTTATCAGCCTTTTCGTTGACTCGCCTACTTCTTGTTTCACCCTCATGATTCGAGCACCGGTAGCGGAGATTCCGGTCTCTCCAGAGCCTTCTTTTGGTCCAGTCATAACAGGGAATGATGAAAAGAGATCGAGAAAAGAGACGAAAAAAGAAAGAGAAAGATTTGAACTAATAAACTAAAATTCGTGGAGTAAAGATTTAGAGAGAATCTACTCGAACCTTGGTTTGAACTTAACAGAAAAAGTAAAAACTGTGAAAGGCAGTAAAATAAAAGAACCAGAAGAAGTTACCTGGGAAACTGAATCGAGACGTGGAGAAGGTGAGGGAGTTGCAATTAATGTAAACAGCTTTATATCCCGTCGAGCCTCGAAAATCGGAGGATAATTATTTCAAATTCTTTTCATCTGAGTCGTTGATTTCGTTAAGTTTAATCGTATCATCGGATCAAATAAGAGATATCCTCGAGAGAAGATCACGAGTAAACATTATCTCAACGAAAAGCTAAGATTCGGCGGCTAGGTCTAGCTTCCGAGAAAAGTATCTTTTCTCGAAAGCTGGGGGCAACTTTTGGGCCCAAATATGGCCCGTTAGCTGAAATTAGCAGATCAATTAATTTAGCCTAATGATGGGCCGCACATGGGTTATCATTTGAAAGGAGAACGAAGCTCACCTAAAGACGGAGGCTACTTCTGGGGATTCTGACGAAAGAAGTCACGGAGAAGAGGTCCAGCTTCTTTTTCAGGGACCTAACAAAAACAGGTCAGGATACAAAGTAAGAGGCGTACGATTCGGTCAAAGCCGAGCTGTTGTAAATCCCTTAACTCACGGAATAAATCTTGGAGATTGGTTAAGATTGTTTGAACGAGGCTTGAGGCTATTTAAAGGAGGCAAGACGAAGAAGAAGGGAATTCATTTTTTTTTTCAACCATTTTTACACATATATTGTTGCTCACAAAACATTCTTATAATTCTTTGTAACCATCGAAATCATCTGGGTAATCATTATTCATCAATACAATCACAACTCGTTCTCTAAGTTCTAACGGGATTCAACCTTAACCTGATCTAAAAACTAGGAAGTGAGTTTTACCCCTCACACCCATATATGGAAAAGACCACCAGTTCACATGGATTCTATGGTACATTTGGAAAGGACATAATAATTAAAATTTAGTAAACTTGAAGTAGATACGAAAGACACTCTGCAATTAGTAGAGACAGAATCTTTACTTTGGCCTGAGGCTCAGATTAAGGTCAATAGTGGAACTGACCATTTGCACAAACAGAAGAGTTCACACTACCCTCAATACTAGGGCATTGGTGCTTCACGGATGGTTCGTGGAAAACAAAGTAGTTTTTCTCGGGATAAGGTTGGTACATCACCCTGCTGGGTTTTGCGGGTCTTATGGGAGCAAGGAATATGAGAGTAAGTATTTCTCTTTTGCATTCGGAAATGGAAACGCTCATTTGGGCAATGGAGAGTATGAGGAATTTACGTCAGTGTCATGTAACGTTTGGTACAAATTGTTTAATTGGTGAAGATGGTTTTAACACCTGAAGAATGACCATCTTTTGCACATTATCTGGACGATATTAAAATCCTTCAAGAAAGTTTTACGCACTTTTCAACGATTATTCATATCCTAAAAACACTGAATCAAAAGGTGAAAAGCTTGGCGCGCGGTGCCAAAAAACAATCATCTTTCGTCGTTCAAATGGATGAAAAGTTATCGAGTTGGTTCACTATAGTATATTTAGAGTTTGTTTTAAGTTGAGGACAAAAAAAAGAAAAAAAAAGTAGACAATCAAATACAAAGACTCAACTTGTCTTTAACCGATTCCAATATTAAATCATCGTCTAACTCACGCCATCAACTGCAATGGAGAAATTCATGGAGAGTCCAATGAAGAACAAGTTTAGAGTCAAAGGTGTTGTTCTTAAAGGAAGTGTAAGCAGCCTGTGGCGTCTAATGTGAGATCAATCTGATCACATATATTCTACTCAGATACAAAGGATCTTCACCGAATCTGTTCATGGATGGCCATTCCGTAGTGGTTGAAGGTTTCATAAAGCCGTTTATTGTTGAAGCGATGAAGGAGGTTTCCCCGAAACTCTTTTCTCAAACAGAAAGAAACCCCAACTGTTTTCGAAGCATTTAAATTTTGCACAACTGTAGATCCCAACTAAACTTCCGTCTCACATAATATTACAGCATCAAAAACTTATTCTGAAAAACAACGACCGTCTCATCAACATAAGTTTGGACTAGAGTATGACTTTGTTAAAGAAAACACAACTACCATTGTTCAAAATATGACCTTAAAAATAACGATCTAGAGATCCACACAGAGGTAAGAGAGAATCGATCCAGCTCTCCTCTTCGTCCTCTCGCTCACTTTACATTTCTCTATCAACACCTTTTTGATGTGTGAACAGCTCGAGACGACTGTAGCCACTCCCACCGAAGTGATCTCTGGACAGTAAACCATGTGGCAAGTCTCCAGCAGTTTGCATTTGTTCACAAGATTGTTCAGACCTTTGTCTGTTACATGGTGGCAATGGGACAAGACCAAGTCTTTCAGCATTGGGCATCCTTCTCCAAGCTCAGCCAACGTCATGTCTCCAATGTTCTGAATTTGAGAACAAACCCAATCATGAGATCTCATTAACAACAAACAAACACACACTGTTGTCTGTAAGAGGTTTGCTTTACCTGAAGTACACTAATGTCTAGGTGAGTGAGTTGAGGACAGCCATTGGCTATTGCTGAGATTCCAACATCTCCAATTTGATGACAACCACTTACGTTTAGTTGTTGTAAGGAGCAACAACCTTTTCCAACGGCAACCAATGCTACATCTCCAACTCTGGATATAACCAAACGATTTACCTTATCCCGGTACTATTAAGAAACAAGATTCAGAAAAGAGTTGCATGACTTACTTATCACAAAACCGGACACTAAGCTCGGTTAGTGATTTACAATGTTTTCCAATGGCTATGACCCCTTTGTTTCCAATCTACCAAAAAAAAAAAAAGAGTTTGCATGTCTATAAATTAGGTGAAACCATGTAATCAAATGGAGAAGAGAATGTGAAGATTATTACCTCGTAGCATCTGCGGATATGGACTTTCTTGAGGTTGCGACAGCCTTTAGCAATATTGCACATAGCACTGTCTCCAATGCCAGCGCAGTCTACTAAGTGAAGTGTTTCAAGGGATTTACACCCTTTTCCAATTTGGTAAAGAGCGGAATTACCAATCCTTTGGCAATATAGCAAAGCTAACTCAGTGAGGTTCCTGCAGACATCCCAAAAAGAGAACGGATTAGTCAATGATCAGGCGTCATCAAGAATAAGAAAGCTGAGAAAGAAAAAGTACGGGCAAGATCTTCCAATTGCCTCTAGTCCACGAGTACCAATGTTGTGACATCCATTAATCTCTATACGTGTAAGTTCCTTGCAGCCATGAGCAATAGCTTCTAAACCAGCGCAGTTCACAAAGTAGCAGTCACTTAGGGTGAGATCTTTCAGATTCTTACACCCTTTACCAATGGACTTCAAGCCCCTGAAACACAACATGAAACCATATAAGAATATCATCCATCCTACAAAGCCTGAGATTGCCCTAAAAAGGAGCGGAAGATTTCACTAACTTGTCAGTAAATTGCTGAAAGCTATACAAAGCCAATCGCTCCAAGGAAATACACACGTCTCCCACCACGGAAAACGCAGCATCCGTCACGTTAACACACTGAAGCTTTAGACTCTTTAAACGTTTACATCCCTTCACTACCGCCACGACTCCTTTATCATGGATGTATTCAGAATCCAGAAACAACGCTTCGAGAAGTTTGCAGTGAGAAGCAACTACTTCCAGAGATGCATCTGTTACTTTGGCCGAGGCAGCAACACCAAAGGACTTCAAGGACTTGGCACAACCAAGAACAAGATCGATAACCCCAGCATCAGTTAAGCCTTCACAAAACCGCAGGTTTAGTTCTTCGAGCTGCTTACAGAACTTTCCAACAGCTGATAAGCCTTGATCTCCAACAAAGCAACCCTAAAGACCACATCCAAAGCATATGAGATCAAGTGGAGTCAGAACCTCAGCATAAGAATGAAACTAACTAACCTGTAGATCAAGAGATCTGAGAGAGGTGCACTTGTGAGCAAGGGAACGCAAACCGAAACTGGAAACATTAGGGCACCATATCAAGCTCAGGTTCTCAATCCGTGGAAACCCATTAGCAAGAGCTATCAAGGCCGCATCAGTCAAGCTGGAAGACTCAGTGTACTCAGATCCAGAACGTGTCAGTCTCTGACGTTTACTTGACGAAGGCGATGATGATGATGATGAATTGTTACTCCCACGCTTCCTTTTCTGCACATATAAAATCAAAAAGACCAATAGTTTTTGTCATAATCCCAGAAAGATCAGTCATTTCGAATCGAAAAAACCCTAATTGCGACTAAATGCAAACCCAGATCCATAGAGAAAATCGACATGCGAAATGATCGATCCGATTCTAAGAGAGGAAATAGACATACGAGAGGAGGAGAAGGAGGAGGGAGGGAGACGGAGAGACGCTCATCGACGTGGATGGAGGTGACGTGGGGGAAGCGGCGAGAGAGGAGGGTGACGAAGGTGTCGGGAGAGAAAGAGGCGCCGATGCGGAGAGTGGTGCGGTTGAAACGCTCGAGGTGAAGCCATCGTTTGCAGACGAGGGAGGCAGCGTCGCGGGTGGGCTTCGAATCGAGTCGCTGGAAGATCTCGAGGATGAGTTCTTCCGGTAAGCAATTGTTTATCAGATCACGACCTCTCATGTTCCCCCCCCCCCCCCCC